CGGGAGGTGAACATCACGTGAAGGACTGTGCCCTACTCTGGGCAGGAGCACTAACACCGGGGTGCAGGTTTATGAGCTCTCTATGCATCTCACATAACCACTAATTCACAACCATAAACTATAACTTACCTGGCACTTACTTGTACGTCCGCAGCACCAAACACAAATATATGCAACTAATAATGCATAATTAAAATAGACAAAGACTCATGCTAGGTAGAGATGGGAATATACATATAAGGCTTACAGGATCCACTCCCTTGGGCGATGTGGGATGTTACAATCCACCCCCTTAGGGGTCAAACGTCCTCGTCGGCACACTTCTGACCAGGGATTGGCTCTAATACCAAATTGTCACATCCTGGCCCGGGCCCCCACCATATCCTGGGCTCGACTCCACCGTAGCACTATATTGTCCGCTTTGGGCCCCATCTGAGAACTCACACGAGAACTTCCCAGGGGATTACCAATCTTGAGATTGCTCTAGCATGAACTCGCTTAACTTCGGAGTTCATACAGAACCCGAAGCCAGTGAGCTCTGAAAAGGCTTCATGCTAGGTAAAGATGGAATATATATATAAGGCTTACAGGATTCACTCCGCTGGACGATGTAGGATGCTACAGCAGAAGGTGTATATTTATGTCAGCCTTTATTCATGCTTGCATGCTGAGAATTGTGGTAGCAGAGTTACTGGGGAGATGAGCAATTCAATTAGTCTACTTACTTCTCGTATGTTGCTCTTAACGTATGTCGGTTTTAATTATTCATGAGCAATTGAAAATTTATTTTCACTGATGGTACACTTATATTCATAGATTAATATATGTTTGTTTTTAACGTATCTTATTAAACACATTTGGAGAAAGTATTCAATTTTTTTTAGCAATTAAGAACATTGCTCCCTCCTCAATAACTACATTTCCCTTCGTTCATCTTTACTAAATGTCAAGATTTACATTAACAATCTTTTTTTTTCTTTCTTTTTTGTCAATTTTGTTGAGGGGGCTTAATGTTACCATTGATGAAGTCTGTGAAGCGCTTTTGGAAGGTAAGTATTGATATTCAATTATTGCTTATTGCATTGTCCAATTTTATTGGAAATTTTCTGAATTAGGTGTGTGCTTTACCCGAAGAAGTCTCAGAATATTGCAATTCTTGCTTATTGCATTTTGTCCAATTTGGAAGGTAAGTTGTGATTATGTAACAATGTATTGAAGAGCCATTTGTTTAGTTCGTTAGTGGAATTTTGTTGTTTATGTATTTCCGAAGTACTTTATATAATTGATAATTAAGGTTTAAATATCATAAGGTTCCTTTTGTTTAGGATAAACAAATAAGAAGGAATTGAAGAAGTGGGTTTGGGTTTGGGTTAGTGTAGATAACTGACACAGAATTGTACTTGCTGTTGTTGTAGGGAAATAAAACAGAATTGTATCTTCTGCAAAATTATCGAGTGGTAGCAATTTGCGGATTGTCTAATCTTTTGAAGTAATTTCATTTCCAATTTTATTCGTCTTCCTATAATTTCAAGTCTAATTACTGGGGAATGCCGACACTTTTTTGGCCGTTAATTTTGTTTGGGTAAAGTACAAAAAATTACCTCAACTATGGGTCGAACGACACTTTCATACCTTATCTTTTAAAATTGACAATGTCATACCTCATCTTACGAATTTGTGACAATATCATACATTCCGTCAGTTTGTCTGTCATCTATTCCGTTAAGTAGTGACGTGGCTTAAAAAAATTAATAAAATATTAAAAAATTAATTAAATATTAAAAACTAAAATTATTAAATCATTTAACAATTTTTTTGGGTAAAGTACAAAAAACTACCTCAACTATGGGTTGAACGACACTTTCATACCTCATCTTTTAAAATTAACAATGTCATACCTTATCTTACGAATTTGTGACAATATCATACCTTCCGTCAGTTTGTCTGTCATCTATTTCGTTAAGTAGTGACGAGGCTTAAAAAAATTAATTAAATATTAAAAAATTAATTAAATATTAAAAACTAAAATTATAAAATCATTTAACAATTTTTTTTACATGGGGACCCACCCCTTATCCCCCTTACCTTTCTTCCCTCCTCCCGTTTTCCCCCACCCTAAACCCAGATCCCTTCCCTACTTCGCTCTCCCTCGCCAGTGCCTAGAACCACCATCCCTCCCCTCTATCTCTCCCCTTTCTCCCTTTCACGTTGCAACAGCAACCTCGTTGGCTCTACCATTGTCTGCAAGCTCCAAGCCCTAAACTTCACAAACCTCGTCCTCTGCACCCATACCAAGAGCTTTTCGTCTCTGAGAACCTGACCGATTTGGTCGTCGACATGCGCCTCGGTGAGCTTGCCTTCCGCACCCATAGCTCTGCTAGTAAGTCTGTGACTTCCGACGAGGATTACCTCTAGCTATCCCAAGCCTTCAATGATTTCTCCGCCTGCAGCAACAACATATCAGGATAATTAAAACGGCTCGCAAGTTTGCCGTAGCCGAAAAACGCACTGACCACTAAATTATCTGAGGCTGTGCCAGAACTGGAACCATGCTAGGGGCTTTTGCAGAGGGAGAACTTCTCAACCGAGATCATTGAGAGCATTTCGTCGGAAGATCTTCAGCCGACGATCAAGATCTGAGTCGACGGCCTTCAATCGTCGTCGTTTGTCGTGAAGCAATCTGCAGCGGCCAAGCTCAGGCTTTTAGCGAAGAATTGGGTTGATAATCGCGCCTTGATCAGCGAGTCCGGCACCTTTCTCGCTCTAATTCTTCCACTGCGATGCAACAATCCATGGACGCATGAGCACGCCGTCACGACGCACACCCAGCTTGCGAAATTCCAATTGGGATTTGAACAGGGGAGAAAGAAAATGATGGATGCACAAGGCAGAGGTGTCAAATGGGTAGCAACAGAGCACACCCAATTTGCGAAATTCCAACTGGGATTTGATTTGTTTGAGTAAATTAAAAATTGGGGACTGAAATGGGGAAGAAGGGTGAGGGTGATGAGTTCGGGGGAGACAGGTGGGGAAGAAGGTTGAGGGTGATGAGTTTGAGGGGTGGGTTAGGGGAAGACGGGAGCAGGGTGGGGATGGGATCTGGGTTTGGGGTGGGGAAAAATGGGAGAAGGGAAGAAAGGTGAAGGGGATAAGGGGTGGGTCCCCATGTAAAAAAAATTGTTAAATGATTTTATAATTTTAGTTTTTAATATTTAATTAATTTTTTAATATTTTATTAATTTTTTTAAGCCATGTCACTACTTAACGGAATAGATGACAGATAAACTGACGGAATGTATGACATTGTCAATTTTAAAAGATGAGGTATGAAAGTTTCGTTTGACCCATAGTTGAGGTAGTTTTTTGTACTTTACCCTAGTTTTTAATATTTTATTAATTTTTTAAGCCACGTCACTACTTAACAGAATAGATAACAGACAAACTGACGGAAGGTATGACATTGTCACAAACTCGTAAGATGAGGTGTGACATTGTCAATTTTAAAAGATGAGGTATGAAAGTGTCGTTCAACCCATAGTTAAGGTAGTTTTTTGTACTTTACCCTTTTTGTTTTCAGTCCATTTTTTTTGCTACTGCTGTGTTAGGATTTTAAACTCAACCGTGAAATTGAGTATAGGCATTTTTGGTTGTACATAGGTTCTTACTGTGGAGTAGATACAAATATGCCATGTACATATTCTACTATTTAAGTAATGAACAAAACTATTCTCAATGTTTCCAGCTAATCATTTATCAACTTTAACGTTTGTAAAACCCGCAGCGAAGTGCGGGTATTCTTACTTGTAAAATACTATATACAACACCAAGGGGCCAAGGGCACATCCCAATGTATATAGAATTCAAATAATCATACCCATCTACTTGGATTACGATTAATTAATTTACTTTTTCTTACCTCTATGTCCGACGGTCGTTCCCAGCACCTACATTTCATAGCGTCTAAGTCCAACGGTCATTCTTGCGCCTACATTAGAAGGAAAGATCATACTTTCACGGTTTCACCTGAATGGACGGGGAGTCGTGTATTTGATGAGATGATGGGGATCACTAGGACTCACCTCGTTTGGTATAATTCCCTGTTTATTACCAAAAGCAAATGAAAGATCATAATTTCAAGTCAACTTATGATGAATCGTTCCATATGCAACAACAAGGCGTTTTATGATAAAACATTACACATGTTATATTGTATAAGTGTTAAGAAGTAAGTTAAGGATAATATAGGTGTTTGTTGGTCATAAGCATAGCCGTGTTCACCATTAATTGCGGAAGCAAGGTACGGCATGTGAGTATTATTAAATGTGAGATGGATTTGCAAATTCTGAGAAAAATCTTTTGCCAATCTCAACGTTCATGAAGAGCATTTTTATCAATCCCTTGATACTTAATAACTTGACCTCACTTCCTTCGTACTTGAAAATTGGCCGATTCATACTACCTTAGTGGTGGGTTCTCTCCACAGATCATTTTTTTTTTTTTTTTTTTTCCAATTCTGAAAACATTATGATTTGTTGTCCTCTTCAGTCATCTAATATTTGGAGATTTCGTTGCAAGTCGACATTAATATCTTCCTCAAACTTCATGTATTAATCTCTTTGATTTTGTGTGAGATACACGCAAATCCAACGAGCGCATTACTCCAGAACACAAAAATTCAATGATAACTTTCAGAATCAAATACTTCACCAGAGATCACGATGCTTTTTTTTTCTTTCTTAAAAATCGAAGGAAATGCGAAGAATTTGAACTTCCAGAACTTGTTCGTCGTCGTCAGCATCGGTGGAAGTGTCCATATTTAGTGGATGTTGCTATATGTCATCGATATCTGGTAGATTATTTTGATTCATATTAGGTACCAATACGTCAACATATGTTAATATAACGTTGATACATTCGAGTGGCTCCGTGCATTGTAGGATGTCACATTCAACCCACTTACAGTGTCAGTAGTCTAATTTAATCAGAATCAGACGACATCAAAAATCTCAAAAGGTTTCCTTAATCCATTCCCTCAATTTCCTAGTAAACTTGCACATCCGATAATGCTTTAGAACGACTAAAAGTGTTTTCAGATATGATAGCCACTTTTTACAATGTTTTAAACGTCTTTTCCAGGTTATATATCGCTTTTTGCATAGCAGATTGATGAAGGGTGAAACTGAAATCACAAATATTTTTCAATATCTTCCGCCGATCTCCTACGGCTAAGTGGATGGGATTCCCTGAGGCTAAGTTTGAAGGCATTGTGCTTTTCGTGGTCTTGCATCTTATCCCGATGGGCAGCCATTTGGACCAAAGATGTAAACCGTGGCTGTGGCACAGCATCAGCCCCCTGGCTTCAGCAGGAAGAATTGTGCTGGTGGGAGATGCATGGCATCCAATAACTCCGAATCTGGGCCAAGGTGCTTGTGCTTTGGAAGATGCAGTAGTTCTGGCAAGAAAGCTTGCGGGTGCAATCAAGTCAGGACCAGCATACATAGAAGCCGCTCTCAGCTCGAATGAAGCGATAGATGGCTTCGCATCTTTCCGCTGGCTGCACTGCGCAAATCCTGTAGGGTCACTCTTGCAGTGGGATGACCCTGTTGTGTGTTTCGAAACAATGTCATCTTCCCCAACTTCTTAGGTTAGGACCATTGTTGGAGCATACGAATTTCGACTGTGAGCCTCTACAAACTCCGGAATAAGTTCAAAATCAGTCAAGCATGAGTGAGAAATTTTTTTTTTTTTGACAGGATCTCACAATACTAATTGTACATGACATTATACTGCTTATGAACACCTTTCTGATATACTTATGTATGTTTCAATCAAGGCATCTAACCAAAGCGAACGATGCCCGTGTTATCTCACATACACATTAAATTGCTGAGAAGAGCTTTTTCTTGAATAAGAGAGGCCCCGAAAGTGATTCATAAACCGTTTCTTTAGCTTCAACTCCTCCATGTTTAACGGAAAGCTGCTCCTCCAAACGATCTTCTCATCAATCTTGGTATATTTCGTTCTGGACAACAAAAATAAAAATCACTAGGATATCTACGCAAATGTTCGGTTCACTTCACTCGCAATAGAAGCGGCGATGCAACCAAAGCGAAAAGATAACAAAAAGTGTTACCCAAAGACAAGCCTTGAACTAATATTTCAAAGATATGACCAACACAAGAAGCCTTCACAAGTTGTTCCGCTTTTTGGGAAAGTTCAAAATTATGCATCAAGAAACATCATATGATCCAAGGAATCGAATTAGCTTCAATCAATCCAAAACTGCAGTTTCTAACTCTCTCAAATTGCAAAGGCAGAGATTAATTTTTGGACCCAAACAATCAGTTCAAGCAAAGGCATTTGGCCATTCTAAAGTTGTAAACTTCGACTAGAACTAAGAAAGAGTTAATCCATGTCCTTTCTAATCAGCTAATTTTTCCCTTTGATGTCACGGCATTCGAAAGCAAAACTCGATACTCGGCTTAGCTAAGTTGACTAGAGCAGTGTGCTCCCGTTCTACGAGTTTAACTCTCTCGTAGTTTAGATTAATTTAGAGTACACTGGCACTAGAATAAATGAAGGAAAAAACGCAGACAGGATGTCACCAATATATGGGGCCAAATGGCAAAGTGGGCAGATTGTATATTGTACCTGGATTGGAAAAGAACCAGAGGATGATGGCGCAGAGGACTAGCAGGACAGGTATCAAGTGGATGGCGTTCTCTGCGGACCTGACACGACGCCGTTCTCTCTTTGCCACATGAGAGCGGGGATCGTAGGTGGGGAGATGCAGATGCTCGTGCTGGTGGTGATCTGAGTCGTCGTTTGTGGTTGGTTTGAAGGTTGAATCTTTCCTTGTGATTGGGACGTAAAGATGGAGTCAGGTTCGGTCAACAATGAAGACGGCTTTCTTGAATCTTAAAAACAAAACTACCCAATAAAATTAGAGTAAATTATAGTCATGTCCCTCAATTTTAATCAAATTAGAGCAATGGTCACTCAACCAAAAATCCATAATCATTGGTCCCGTAACATCAAAATGTGTAGCTATGATCATTTTCATCAACTTCATCAAAATTTTGTCAAAATGAGTTATATTGGAAGGATCATTGCTACAATTGGAATACCTTAACTCATTAAAACGTGTAGCTATGGCCCTTTTCATCAACTTCGTCAAAATTTTGTCAAAACGAGTTATGTTGGAGGGACCATTGCTACAATTGAGTTAAAATTGAGGGACCATTGCTCAAATTGGGTTAAAATTAAGGGACCATTTCTCTAGTTGGATTAAAGTTGAGAGACCAATGGTAATGGATTTTTAGTTGAGGAACTATAGCTGCATGTTTTGATAAGTTGAGGGACCAAAGATAATAAATTTTTAGTTGAGGGACCATTGCTTTAATTGAGTTAAAGTTAAGGAACCATTACTACAATTTACTCATTAAATTACTTAACGACTCAAATTTCATTTGTTGTGGTGAAAAATAGTTGTTAAATTTTCATAAATAAGACGTTGAATTAGGATGAAATTTATCGTCATATTATAACATTTTTCAGGTAAAATTTATCGTCATATTATAGCATTTTTAATAAATATGACGTTGAATTAGAACAATCACATTATAACAACTAAGGATGTAATTCGGACGAGTTAGAGGGTCAATATAATCATAACCCAACATATACAATAGATCGTTGATCACGATATATTTATGTATACCCATGATCACATATAATTACACGATGATATCTACTCATTACCATGTAATCATTAATGGGGTCCGTTTCAAAATTTGTAAGGAAAATGCAGCGCTTTTTAAACTCGAAAACAATGTTAACTTTTTCTGCCAACCGTTATCAGAAGGGTTAAGTTGCCTAGAATTCTAGTTAGGTTGGCTTGGCCAAGGTCTCAACCCATCAAATGCTTGAGTTGATGGCGAGTTGAGTTTTGGTGGATTTTCTCTTGAACTTGCTGTGTTCTAGTTTCAAACCGTCTCCCATCCCCTTAATGTAGCTTAGAATAAGAATATTGCTTGTAATAAAAATATAAAAAGAATATGCTCAATTAGGTTAAAAGTTAAACTAGACTTGGATAGATTTGTGTTCACCCCATCCAAGTTTGACCCATAATATTAAATCAATATTTACTTTTTGTTCTATACGACAATATATTTGTGTCGTAAACACTTTTCATCTCATGTACAAATAAAAGGAAATATTATCAAATTATAATACTAAGTCACATTTAATATTACATGTTAGTGTAACAACTTCATCACGTTATGTCTTTCCTTTTGGTTGAGGGTAATGTATACATGAACACACAACATACACGCATTCACTTGTATGGAAGCTTCTCCAAATGCTTTTACGCGTATTTAGTCCTTGGGAATTAAGATTTGTGGTTTGTCTTCCCTGCACTCTATATTTTTGTCCCCCTTTTTTTTTATCAATTTTGTGAAGCAACCAAGAAACCAACTGTTTCAGGCTCTCAGCACTCAATAATATTATATAAACTAAACAACTGGCTTTTTTCATATGAAACCTCAAGAGCACGTTCACACAGTGTGAACCTCAATTTTGTTTCCAACGCAAAATGACTCGAACACCCCTTATTGCTCCTAATTTCTTTTTTTCCTGTATTTAATTATAAACAATACTTGGTTGTTGAATTTTCAACCGTCATTCTTGCTTTTACTTAATTAGATTTGAACACATATCTAGCTTGTGTTTACAATTTCAATTATTTAGACACGTATACAAATCTAATTGGATAAAAACAAGAGTAGCTGTCGAATTTTCCGCAGCCAAATATTGTTCTTTGATTATTTCATGTGCACATTTCATAGCTTTCTAGACAAGACTATATATGTACAATTAAAATGGACATAAACTCAACCCGTTATTTGATGCGATGTAGTTGTATTATGGATTAGACATAGATTGTGGATCCAAGTCCAAGATAGAATTGACTTCATAAACGATCGTTACACATAAATTGTTAATCCGAAAATCGTCATCTATCTCGCTTCAAGGCCACGTATATTGCTTGTACCCCATCTCTAGCCTCGACACCTTCTTCTAAGTCATATCGAAAGGCAAATTTTCTCTTGGTCTCCTCTTCTCTTCGAGGCAACAACTTTCTTTTTATTTGAAGTTAGGACAATAAATAAAATGATTAAGACTTTCAACCCACTACTGTGTTATAGCCTTCATTAAAATAGTAGAGACAAATGGAGCATTCGTGTTTTTTTATTTTAAAAATCTGTGAATGCTAGTTAATGAACATGTCATAATGTGAAAGTAATTATTTTTTCTGTTCGAAAGAAATAGTTTAAGGAGGAAAAAATGGGATATAAATTTTAATAACAGTATCCAAAATAACTATTGCTTCACATTTTGACAAGTTTACGAATTAATACTCACAAATTTTTATCTTATGAATCAAAATTCCTATTCGACTAAAATTTAAGGAGGAATGCTCAGATTTCATCGAAAAAAAAAAAAGTAAGATGACTAGGAAGTGGTGCAAATGCAAAGAAAGAGAAAAAATTATCCAATGAAAAAGGACAACAATGCAGCTTGACGCGATCGCCACAAAAAAACTTTTTAGGTTGAGCCTGAACTAATAGGAACGGCACTTATATTTATACTATTCAAACATTTAACTTGTGTACCCACGGGTTGATCCAGCCTAATATTGTCTAAGTTCAATTTTTAGCGTTGATTCTAGTGAATCACATGATAGTAGTTAAGATAGCTGATACACTTTTGTAAATCTTTTTAATCTCCAAAAAAATATAAGTGCCTTAACGAAGCCACCAAACTTGGGCTCATATGTGAAATTGCACTTCAACACAATGCAAGTGTTGAATTTCAATACGTGTAAGTTGACGTGAATCGGTCCTTATGAATTTTTATATTTAAAAAATAATTCGTTTATAATCAACAACGAAAGTTTGAATACTCTTTTTTTCTTTTGTCAATTGCGTTGATAATTCGCCTTTAGCACAAGGAAAATACAAATACGTGAAGGTGCACCAGCAGCATGTAGAGACAATAAGGTATCCCTCTAATCACCTCATAAAAACGACATATTTGTAAAACAAAATTAACACTATACTAATTTCCCCTAGACACACACGTCCTAATATATATAGGCCCTTAAACAAGAATGATCCTTATTTTTCTAAAAAAATAAGCCCACCCTCTTGACCGTTGAATTGACTTTAATGAAATTGTGTAATTGAGATACAATCTCAACCATACAATTTAATTAAAGTCAAATCCAACGGTCATGAGGGTGTTCCCATTTTTTTAGAAAATGGGGATTCCTCTTGTTAAATGATTCATATATATATATATATATATTTCACATTTTAAAAGAGAGACAACAATTTCGCATAGAAAACTCATAAAGAATTGTTGCCACAAGGAGATTTGACGATGGGTATATTATATCGCCATCGGGATAAATAATACTACCATATTTAGAATTTGAATTTTAAGGGGTCCCGATGTTAATTTTTTAGATATAAAAACATAGCATGAAGCGTGAAAAAAAACTTTTGGCGGGCTTGTAGTCTACAGTCAAATCACGTTGACCACATGTCAACAGATAATGGCATATGCCGAAACAAGCTAATTAGTGATATAGCGAGAATTATCGAGTGTTGTCGGATCAACCTATCGAGACATGCTTAATATAAATTACATCAAACATTTAGTGGACACAAAAATAACTCATACCAAACATTCGGAGAATCTTCAGAAGATCTTTACATGTTTATTTTCCAAACTCTAAATGATCTTGGGACCACCTTAGTCCCTACTTCCATCCTTCCCTAATCATAATAAAACTGTCATAGCAACCTAGATAAAGTTGGAGTTAGAAAACCAATTGGGGAAGGATAATTGTCACGAGACTCGTAAACAGAAGGGAAGGAAGGTCGGAGTTGCTACCTAGACAAAAATTGCGCTTTGATGATGGTATCTACCCGTGGTAAAGGAGTGCATTTAGTTTTATAAAAAAATAAAAAAAATAAAAAAAATAAAAAGGCTTGCATTTTTTCTCATCACTTTTAAGTGGTGGTAATACTAGCATCATTCTTATTATTAATAAAGTTTAAATTTTGAGATTTGTGTCTGATCCCTACATAGATTTTGAAATTCAAACTCATCAAACGAAGATAAATAAAGTGATGCACATCATATTTGAGGGTGGTGAGCAAAAATATTCTCATAGCAGAGAAAGAGAAACACAAGATCAACGCTAAGACCATCTCCAACCCTTGGGTTAAAACTTAAAATTTTTTGCTCGGAAAATTTAGGTTTTAACTCAAAAACATTTTTTCTCCTCCAACATTTATGGGTTAAATATTTAGCCCGAAATTATTAAATAATGAATTTAGGATAATTTCTTTCTTAAAGTAACTTTAAAAAATATATATATTATGTAGACTATCATAATTTAATTTTATAAACATTTTAACCTAAAAATATTTAAAATTCTGATAAATATTGAAAAATCACTAAATCGACATCATGAAATTCGTGGAACACTATGAAAGAATACGAAGCACATAAAATAATTGTTTTTTAATTACTTTAGCCGTTGGATTTGATCAAATTAGATCTTAACAGTTGGATTCGATTAAGTTATAAATATAAAACCAAAAAATATATACATCTATGGTGGGTCAGCCCCACTAACACAGGGGGAATCCTGGGCTAAAATTGTCTCATAAACGAGTTTTGAATTTTAACTTATATTTAGCTTAAGGGTTGAAATAAGTTAGAATAAGTTTAGAACCTAAAATTTAAATTTTACTTTAATAATTGGAGTAGGTCTAAAAAGTCTTTTCTCGTTTATCTGATTCTCAACTCTCAGCCACTAACTAAATCGCTCAACCACTTACTAAATCGTGATGTTATTAAAACATACAATTTTATCAATTAACTATAAATTTAATGTTATTTCTTTGACCAATATTAAATTCAAATCTTGCGTGAAAGAGTTTCATTCATTATTCACATGCACCATTTCGGTAAATTCACTCATAACCAGAGTACACGTGGCGGAATCAGGTCCCTGTTTCTACGTCACAGGCACGATACAGAAAAATTCCGACATTAAAGGGTGCCTTTTGTAATACAATACAAACACGATACGCACCCAAACAGCACCATCACCATCTCCTCTCTTCTCTGCTTTCATTCCGTCCCTCCTCGGTTTCTCCTTCTTCCCCAATCTTCGTCTTCCTCTTCCACTTTCCTTCTCCCTCCGTCTCTCCGGCGAAGATACACATAGCAGCAACTGCTAGCCTGGATTAGAATTTCTCCCCAATTTCTCCCGACTCGTTCGAATTCCGAGCCATGAATCCCGAATAGTGAGTTCAATCCGACGATTCTTCTAATTTTGTTTAATTTTTTGTTTGATTTATTTGCTGCCGATCGAATTTGATCCTATATGCGATGGTTTTAGAACCGCAGTTTTATTGGAAAATTTAGTTTAATTTAATTTTCTGAAATTTAGTCTGCATAGTTGATATTTTTCGTTCGAATTAAGGGTTTCGGAGTGTAGATCCAGACAACTGGCGGTCAGATCCGTTGAACTCTCCTGTTAAATTCGTAAATTATGTGAAATTTTAGGGATCGTAATTTGAAAGAATAACCTAAGTGGTTGGATCGAGTTGCTGTTCTTCATAATTTTGATTGTTTTATACAGTTTAGGGATTGTGAGGAGTAAATTGAGTTTTGAATTGTGCGCAGTGATTATTTGTTTAAGCTTTTGCTGATTGGAGATTCCGGTGTCGGCAAGTCATGTCTACTTCTGCGGTTTGCTGTAAGTTGTAGTCTATTAGTCATCGAATTTCCTAATTTTCTTTCCGTCGTTGCGATTGGTTTTACGGTGATTGAGATTTGTGATTTCTGATTCATGTATTTCGTTTTCGCAAACCAGGATGATTCGTACTTGGATAGCTACATCAGCACAATTGGAGTTGACTTTGTAAGCATTTCTTCAGTTTTACACTACTGATTCCTTTGATTCAACTCTCGCTAATCTCTGTGTTATTTGTTGTGTCGTTTAGAAAATTCGCACTGTCGAGCAGGATGGGAAGACTATCAAACTTCAAATTGTAAGTCTTTGTTGTGTTATTGTATTGTGTGGCACAGATTGAGATTTGTTCCGTTTAAGTTATTTATCTTGACGAAGTCGGTAATTGTTCTGGATAAGTTAAAATGAGAATCTAGTTTTTTCAACAAGTTACGTAAACATCGTCTCATCTTACTTTTGCCATCTCGAATGGCTAATTGCTTGTTCTTTTGCGGCATGCAGTGGGATACTGCTGGTCAAGAACGTTTTAGGACAATCACTAGCAGCTACTACCGTGGGGCTCATGGTATCATTGTAAGTGTGTTGTTCCCTCTTCTTTGGTTATTTTCCCTGTGTGCCTAGTGTTAGATGGACAATGGGCTTAAGGTGTTGGGTTTTTCGCAGGTGGTTTATGATGTCACAGACCAAGAGAGCTTCAATAATGTTAAGCAGTGGCTGAATGAAATCGACCGATATGCAAGTGAAAATGTCAACAAGCTTCTAGTTGGAAACAAGTGCGATCTCACAGCAAATAAAGTTGTGTCCTATGAGACAGCCAAGGTAAATATTGTCCTAAAGGTTTTAAGTTTTACTTATGGTATATTGTTCTTTTACCCATGTCTGAGAGATGCGAAGTACAATAATGTTATATTCTGTGTCCTTTCTCTAGGCATTTGCAGATGAAATTGGAATCCCGTTCATGGAAACAAGTGCGAAGAATTCCACCAATGTTGAGCAGGCCTTCATGGCTATGGCTGCTGAGATCAAGAACAGGTACTTCTATGCTTGTTTTATTTGTCGTCTTTGTATAGCTCGGCAGGAACACCTCTTCTTATAATTTTGAGTCTGCTATAGTTATGATTGCGTTGTTCTAAAACATTTTACCTGCAGGATGGCAAGCCAACCGATGAACAACGCCAGGCCTCCAACAGTGCAGATTAGGGGACAGCCTGTGAACCAAAAGTCTGGTTGCTGCTCATCTTAGAGGGGGGAAAATATTTGGTGGGGTGGGGTGGGGGGAATGATGATTATCCTGTGTTCTTGGTGGCATGTAAAACATCTTAACGATTTGATATGAAGAATGATTGTCGGTCGTGATTTTCTTTTGTTGTCAGTTATCAGCACTATGTTAAAGCTTCCATTCTTTTCAATGTATTTGTTTTCGAAAACTCTCTACAAAATTAGGAATATTGGTGAATAGCAGTATTTGCCTTGTTCTGTTCCCCTAGTACTTGTCAGATGCATGATTTTCTTTTCCAATATGAGTAACGTATATCGTTCACCAGTGCCAACCAAAACGATCCAAACATCTTTCCTTTCCATTTACGACCAAGCACTAACTAGTTCTTGGTTTAGTGGGATCGAATGCCAACTAATTTGTGGTCTAGTGGCATCTCTCTTCTGTAGTCCGGACGTTCAAACGCTTTCCTCATTAAACAAAAGATGAACGAAGGGAGAATAATCTTGTTAATTTACTTCGGCTCTTCCACTCTAGGAGTACAAAGGTTAGCATGGAGTCTGCAAGTTCTCAGAATATCCCTGCCAAAACTTGTGGGAGTCTCACAGGCTTCTCTTCAAACGGCGGTGTAAGCTCAGAAGGTGTCATCTATGGCATCGGGGTCGGAAAGGACTCCGGGCAGAGGTTGCATGTCCGTACATTACGTTAGACTTTAGACGTGTGGCGTTATGCGAGAAGTATGTGTAGTATTTGATTGAGCAAAAGTCTTGTAATGAATTGCGACTTCCATGGGAGTACCGCTTTGCTTGCACTCCAAGAATCGCCGGTCAAATGGACCGCTGCTGGAAAAAAACTTCTACTGGAGCTACTGTGCTTTTGCATATGTACCAGTAATCTCGGCAAGAACAAACCCCTTTTTTGAAATGATGAAACCTTGTGGTATCTCTAGCTATGATTTCCCTTTTTTCAATTGCTAGTTTTTCGCTGTGCCATAACAGAAGCTGCTGTTTGTGCTCTTCCCCAATATCATGTAATGCAAATTCAAGATCCGGAACATACCCTTCTACCTTCATTTTCCGATCCAGCTCACAGTCTTTCGCGTATAGATACCAATTCTGGGCGTGCCCTATCACCTGATCTGAACTCATGCTCTACACTCTGCACCTCAATCCAACTATACCCAGGTGTCTTCACTACCCGATTTTCTTTCATCGATTGCCTGACCTTCGCAACATGTTCCCATCTGTTTGTTGCCGCATAAACATTAGCAAGTTGAACATAACCAGCTGCGCTTGTTGGATCAAGATCGAGCAGAATGTGGTTCAAATGGCATTTTCTTAACAAGATCCACAGCTTCAACTAGCCTACCTGCTCGACCAAGAAGGTCTACCATACACGTATAGTGGTCTGGCTTTGCTTGAACATAATCCTTTCCCATTGAATCAAAATACTGAACCCCAAGATCTACTAATCCTGCATGGTTGCAAACCATTAACACAGCAACAAACATTAGCCAATTCCAATCTGGCGTTGTTCCCTCATTCGTCATCTGATCAAACAAATCGAGAGCTTGTGACCTGCTCCGTGCTGAGCATAACCAGCAATCATTGCATTCCAAGTAACAATATCCTTCCCCTCCATCTCAACAAACAACTTCCAAGCATCCTCCAAATTCCCACACTTACAATACATGCAAACCAAAGAGGTCCCTGCAGTTCAATGCAAACAGGTTACTACAACCTAGTAGAACACTACTCGAACTTGACGGGTTGGCCTAACCCATATCCGATCGTTGACCTAAAAACGTTCCAACCCTCTTCAGCTCGATTTTCAACATAACCCGATGTCATAGCATTCCAATTAAGATACTGAGTTTTTCACTGGCATCTCCCTAAACAATTTCTCGGCAAATCCCCACATTTCACATACCCCGAAATCATTGCACTCCACGAGACACTATTCTTCTCCGGCATCACCAAAAACAAATCCCGAGCTTCCCTCATCTTACCGTTTTGAGCAAACCCCGATATCATAGTATTCCAAGATGCCGTGTCCTTAACAGGCATCTTATGAAAGAACTCCAAAGCAGAATCAACGTCAAAATTGTGCAAATAACAAGCCAACATAATATTATACGAACAAGAGTCTGCATTTTCGCATGGCAGGATGTTGAATTTCTTGTTCTCTGTCGTAAGAGTGAAATCCCGAGAGTTGATGCAGATGCAGTGATGCTTCACACTTCGGGAGAAGAAGATTCAAAAATAAAAATGGTAAAAAGACTTTCCGTTGCCGGGACTTGAACCCGGGTCTTTCGGGTGAGAGCCGAATATCCTAACCAACTAGACTACAACGGATTTGTGGTTGACAATGAAACACTCCATCCCTTATTTATAGCTTAATTTACCCCCCAAAAATTGGTTTTTATCACTATCCCTGCAACAGCCATTGTCGTGTCATTTAGTTCATCCCACTTTTGTCCATTCCGTCAAATAGAATTGAATCAAAGGATAGTATGGACATTATATTTTTGACATAATTTTTGGTCTCCAACTTGCCTGCTAAAACAATCTCAATTTTCTTTTTTACAGCTCTAATTCAAACCATCATCCGTCTCTCTAGTGAATTGTTTCTTTTTGTGTCGATTGGTTTGAGTTGTATCTGTAGCAGGATTCAATGAGTGACTTGAATTAGATTTTGAAACACAACCTATTATTTGCTTCTCTCCTAACCCATGACTTGCCTAGTCCAAAACCAAAAACAAAAGTATTATTATATTCCCGCAAATCGTTCGTCTATGTTTCAATATTGGATGTCCATACTAACCTTTAATTTAACGCCTATTTGACGGAATGGACGATATTGGGGGTGAACTAAAACTAAATGAGACGACAATGGAAGTTTTAGGGAGTAGAATGATACTAAATGGCAGTTTCAGGACAAATCAACTAATAAGCCTTTATTTAATGCAGAATGAAAGTAAAACAAAAAGCTAAAACAAAATAATTATCAAACTGTCTCTTAGTTAAACATTCCTCAATCAGTTGATAGGAAACTTACCAGATTAAAGGTAGATTTTCTAAAAATAAGTGCTCATTTCCAGCTAAAACCAGCCCTGCCATTTAAGATAGAAGACTCAAATCAGTGTACAACAACAACAAAGCCTTTTTCCTACTAAGTAGGGTCAGCTGTATGAATCCTAAAACACCATTGCGCTCGGTTCTGTTCCACGTCTTCCGTTAAATCCAAGTACTCTGAGTCTTTACTTAGAGTCTTTTCCAAAATCTTCATAGGTCTTCCTCTATCCCTTTCAGCCCTGAACCTCTGTCTCATAAACACATGTTCTAACTGGAGCGTCAGTAAGCCTTCGTTTCACATGTCCAAACTATCGTAACCGATTTTCTCTCATCTTTTCTTCAATTTCGACTACTCCTACTTTGTCTTGGATATCTTCATTCCTAATCTTATCATTTCTCGTTTGCCCGCACATCCAACAAAGCATTCTCATCTCCACAACACCTATTTTATGTATGTGTTGATGCTTCACCGCCCAACATTCCCTGCCATAAAGCATTGATGGTTGTATTGCCGTCTTATAAAATTTTCCCTTGAGCTTCAGTGGCATACGACAGTCATACAACCACGTCGGATGCACTCTTCCACTTCATCCATCCAACTTGTATTCTATGGTTAAGGTCTCCATCCAACTCTTCGTTCTTTTGCAAGATAAATCCAAGGTAGCGAAAATGGTAGCTTTTTGGTATTTCCTGATCTCCAATCATCACCCCTAACTCATTTGAGCCTCCGTTTGCAATGAACTTGCACTTTATATACTTTGTCTTTAACCGACTTAGGCCAAGACTTTTAGATTCCAACACTTCTCTTCAAAGGTTAAGCTTCGCATTTACTCATTCCTGAGTTTCATCTATCAACACTATATCGTTTGCAAAAAGTATATACCAAGGAATATCATCTTGAATATGTCCCGTTAACTCATCCAACTAATGCAAAAAGGTAAGAACTTAAACATGAACCTTGATGTAACCCTATATTTATGGGGAAGCTTTCATTTGTCCTTCATGAGTTCTTACAGCAGTCCTTACTCCATCATACATATCTTTTATAGTTTGGATATATGTTACTCGTACTCATTTCTTCTCTAAAATCCTCCAAAGAATGTCTCTTGGGACCTTATCATACGCTTTTTCCAAATTTGTAAAGACCATGTGCAAATCTTTTTTCATCTCTATATCTTTCCATCGATCTTCGTAAAAGATAGATAGTCTCCATAATTGAGCGCCCTGGCATGAACCCGAATTGGTTGTCTGAGACCTATGACTCTTGCCTCAGCCTATGCTCAATCACTCTTTACCAGAGCTTCATTGTATGACTCATTAACTTAATACCCATATAGTTCATGTAATTTTGTACATCGCCCTTATTTTTGTAAATAGGCACCAAAGTGCTTTTTCGCCACTCATTTGGCATCTTATTCGTTTCAAAATCCTATTAAAAAGGTCTGTGAGCCATGTTATACCCGTCTCTTCCACACTTCGATCGGTATATCATTTGGGCCCACTGCTTTTCTATGCTTCATCTTTCTCAAAGCTACAACCACTTCTTCCTTCCAAATTCGACGGTAAAATGAGTAGTTTCTACATTTTTCTAAGTTACTCAACTCCCTGAAAGAAGTGCTTATTTCATGTCCTTCATTGAAAATATTATGAAAATAACCTCTCCATCTATCTTTGACTGCGTTCTTTGTAGCAAGAACCTTTCCATTCTCATCCTTGATGCACCTCACTTGGTTTAGGTCCATTGTCTTATTTTCCCTTGCTCTATCTAGTTTATAGATATCCAACTCTTTTTCTTTGGTATCTAGTTGTCTATACATATCATCAAAAGCCGCTAGCTTAGCTTCTCTCACAGCTTTCTTCATCTCCTTCTTCACTATTCTATACATTTTCATCGTTTCTATCCTTGTATAAGGCTTTACAACATTCATTCTTAACCTTAACCTTTGTTTGTGCATCATCCTTCCACCAGCAAGATTCCTTTAGGTGTGGACAAAACCTTGGACTCTCTTAATACCCATTTTGCTACTTTTCGGATACAACTAGCCATAGAATCCCATATTTGGCTAGTTTCACCCTCTCTATCCCAAACCAATTGGGTGATTACTTTCTCTTTGAAGAGGGATTGTTTTTCTCCTTTTAGATTCCACTATCTAGTTCTTGGGCACTTCAGGTCATGTTCTTTTTTTCTCTCTTTTGATATGTACATACATCACCAACAAGCGATGTTGATTAGCCAAGCTCTTTCCCAGTATAACTTTGCAATCCTTACAAGTTATACGATCCCCCTTCCTCATTAGAAGAAAATCTATTTGTGCTTTTGGATACCCATTCTTGTAGTGATCACATGTTCTTCTCTCTTCTTAAAGAAGGTGTTGGCTAAGAAGAGATTGTATGCCATTGCAAAATCCAAGATGGCTTCCCCATCCTCGTTGCTCTCCCGAAAACCATGGCCACCATGAAAAGCTCCATAGTTGTCTGTCTCCTTACCCACATGTCCATTTAAATCTCCTCCTATAAATACCTTCTCCGTCTAAGTGATTCCTTGCACCAAGTCTCCAAGGTCTTCCCAAAATTTCTCCTTAAGACTCATATCCAACCCTACTTGAGGTATGTATGCACTAATCACATTGATGAGTTCTTGTCCTATTACAATCTTGATTGCCATAATTCTACAACATCTTGTGTCAGGGTCTTGTCCACAATGATGTCAACACCATTTCTCGTTCTATTTATGCCTGAATACCAAAGTTTAAAACCTGAGTTTTCGAGATCCTTTGCCTTAAGACCAACCCACTTAGTTTCTTGTATCCACATAATACTTATCCTTCTCGCCATAACTTCCACTACTTCCATAAACTTTCCATTAAGGTTCCGATATTCCACATTCCTAAACGCTTTCTACTCTCTTGAACTCTACCCTCATGTCCTAGCTTCTTCACCCTCACCCATCTAATAAGGTCAAAGTACTTCTTTTGCATGTCCTATGTAAAGTTGATGGGAGCAAAAGCTTCCAAACAACTTTGAGTGGGGTCGTTCAAAAAGAAGTTTCTATGAAAATTAAGGTTCCTATATTCCACGTTCCTAAACGCTTTCTACTCTCTTGAACTCTACCCTCATGTCCTAGCTTCTTCACCCTCACCCGTCTAATAAGGTCAAAGTACTTCTTTTGCATGTCCTATGTAAAGTTGATGGGAGCAAAAGCTTCCAAACAACTTTGAGTGGGGTTGTTCAAAAAGCAGTTTCTATGGCCCCCTTACTCATTTAACACTGCATACAAGCACCAATGGAGATACAGGGACCTTTACTCACTTATCACTCTGCATATAGGCACCAATGGAGATACAGGAACCCTTACTCACTTATCACTGTACTCGAGCCACACAGCACACCACTTACAGGGTGATGACCTAGCCTTAGTTCAATTTCGTTCAGGATTCATTATCATAAAGATTCGATGTAAGATAAGAGTGCCAGTTGTCGACTACCTGACGCTCTTCCCCTCCTCTTTATCCAGACTTGGGATTGACAAAGTAAAATAAACTTTAACACACGGAGTTTAAAGATTTCTACCGGTTGCGGATCGGTTATACGCATCTCCTCTCACAACTGAGCACGCGATATGGGAGATCGAGAGAGCGTACACAACCCGGTTCATGTAAGGTTTCACCTCACCAGACTAAACAGCCTTTAGATTAAACAAGCCGCTAACATCAGTGAGGCTTTGGAAAACAGACACTAATTAGCACAACCCTTCGAAGCAAGAAAGATTAATAACTAATTAAGTAAAGCAAAAGAGTAGATTCGGAAAAACACTCGGTTCTTAACCTATTCCAACTCAAAACTGATGCATGACGACTGGTCTGTCCCAAGACATAAAAATTTACACTCAAAAAAGCGCATAGATAATCGAAATAGTTCTTAATATTCTCCTGTGGGGTGGTTTGCCATTCTGATGATGGCATCACATAAACCCCCCAATGCATTCAAAGCATAGAGCTGGAAGAAGCGGGAGCCTCATTTCCCGCCGAGGGAAGGGAACTGGCCGGGATCGCCAATGGAGGGTGCTGCCGCATTGCTTGAGTAACCTCCAGGTCCTCCACTGTATCCACCTCTTGGCCCACGGCCACGGCCTCGACCACGACCACCATAGTACCTCTCGCCTTCAGCAGGCTTCAGAAACTCATTAATGCTAACAGACTGCAAACAAATATGGACCACAGTCAATAAACTGATGTACCCAAGTTGATAACCAATGGTGATTACGAACATATAGTTTCGGGTATAGGAGAACTAATATGTCCCAGTCCTATACCCGAAACTTTTAATTCAGTCACCATTAGCAATGAATGCAATAATCATTAAGAAAAATAACAAACCACAGAAAAAGATAGAAAGTCCAATCAGATATAGAAAGAAAAGGTAACCTTCTTGGCTCTCTCTTCTTTCTCAGCAGCTTCTTTGCGCTTATCCTTCTCCGAACCCTGGCAAACAATAGCAAAGTAAATATAATAGCCATATTGAATGAAAGAGTAATATCTAAAGTATCCGGAACTTACCAGCTTGATAAATATTTCATCATTTTCCTTCTTGTTTGAAAGCAGCTGCATGGCCTTCAAGTCTTTGTCCACATCAACCTTTCTTTCCTCGGTCTTCAATGCAAGCAGAGCCTTCCTCTTCTCTTCAAGCACCTTCTGATACTCTTCCAGAGTCATTTCCTATTACAATGCAGAATAATGTAATAGTTCAATACAAGGATATGACCAGAAAATCCAATTGCAGCCGTTATGTATATGGTATCCAGAAAAGTAAGATCAACAATGTTAAAAAGTATACCTTCTCCTCAGGCTCCTTCTCTTCTGTCTCATTAACAGCATCCTCCTTATTGGCATCAGCAGCCTCATTCTCTCCCGACTGCTTCTCAGCGCTAACATTCTTCTCAGTTTCAGTTCCAGGCTCCTCAGTCTCCCTAAATACAGCAAAATAGTGATGTAAGTAAGGCATATAACTGAAAAAAGATGAAACAATTTGTTTCCTCAAGTTATAATTTGAAACTCATCTAGGAATCAGAACATAAATACTTACGGTGCAATGTCATCAGAGGGAGTTCCCCAATTCCCCCGACCAGACCCTTCACGTTTGAAATCATTCCTGATATTACAAATATAATCAATAACAAAACAATGCGTAAAGATACACATGTAGTAAGTTAAATATAAAAAGAACAGATCGAAGAATACTAACCCACGTCCTGTACCACTGCGACGATCAAATACCCTCCGAGGGCGTTCTCCCTCACCATCCTCACCATTGTTGTAACCACCACGACGCCCACCACGGAAGGAACCACGAGGCGCACCATAGCCCCCGCGTCTTTCAGAAGCTTTCCCATCTCCCTCTTCAGATGGCCTGTAGCCACCAGAAAAACCATTGGTGTTCTCATTGCTGATTGGATCTCTATTAAATCCACCACCAACTCCACCACGGCCACGACTGAACCCACGTCCACCACCACCACCACGGCCACCTCCACGGCCACCTTCATACTTTCCCTCCCTCACTGCACAAGTTTTAACAGTCATGTGATATGCAAAATACGTAAAATATAAAACATATAATGTACTTCCATATGTGATGCAAAAGAAGACCGTAAAAAAATTTTGAGCACCTTGACCAAAACCACATGTTATTGAGCAGAAAATCTTCATTACTAATGTGTAATGAAAAGATTAATGATAACTCTGCTAAAACAACATAAATTCAACAAAAAAAATTTAAATTTTGTGCCACATACAGTATAAGAATTAGGGTTTTCCTTCTCAGTGTACATACAAATAAAATACTTTCCATTAACTAGCATCCCCTGACTGTACCTCTTAATAAGATAATAATCAATTTGGACATGAATCTACCATAATAAAAACCCAATAATCTTTTGTTAATTACCCTAAAAAACCAAACTCTATGAACATCCACTGTCACACACAGAGAAAACTTACTCCACATCTCATCAGATATGTACAACATCAATGAAGAATCCCCCATTTACCATTAACTTATCAAAACAACCACTTTCAACTTCAGCAAAAAAATACATAACAAATAAAGAAAGCATTTTGTCAATGGAATCTAACAAGTAAGGATAAGATAACAAATAGAATAAAAACCAAAGCTTTAATTACCATTTCCAAGCAAACCCAACATTGTTTTCTGCAAACAAAACCCAGGAAAGAACTTGGGAAGCACAGAAATGAATAGAAAACAGACCAGATTGTGCAGGGGGGAGTGGCTTGGAGGGAAGCTTAGCAGGCTGAGCAGGCTGGGCCTGCTGGGGCTTCTTGGGCTGCGCCACCGGCAGCTTCTGCTGCTGAGCAGCGAGAAGTTGACTTGGGTCCTCGTTGTCGTCATCGCCCAAGAGATCGAAAGGGTTCGCGGTTGCCATTTCTGCAGGTCCGAAAAGGCCGATTCAATACCCTACAAAATTCCACCGACTTTGAAAAGCAACCACGAAACCCTTCACTGATTATTCGAATCCATGAATCCGAGATTGCTTACGGGAGTTTTAGGGTTTAGAGCTTGCTGTTTAGGAGCAAGGACAGTTGGGGAGAAAATTTGGTGGTGAATGTTGTGGCGACTGTAAACCCTATACAATGCGGCACAGAGAAATATAAGCAGTGACAAAACCTAATCTTAAAAACCCTAATGGGGGCTATTCGTCTGCGGCCGGGTTTATGTTAAGCTTTTGGTGCACTGTGCGTATCTTGTTGGGCTAAGTTCAGTTGTCTTGATGCAGCGTTCGGAATTTGGATGGACCACTTGGACAGAAGTTCATCTTTAATCGAATGAGTTAAATATAATTTCATTTAAAATTATAATCTTATAAAAAATTATTTTTAAAAAACAGTATCAGATCATACTGATATATCATCTTCAACTAAACCCTAGGCCCTCCATAATGTATTAGTTTTAAGTATATACTTTAAATTTATTAGTTAATTTAATTAAACTACTTTTGAATGTTTTCAAATTTAGCCGTTGAATTTGAATCAATTATTACAACTGAGAAGTTGTGTCCCAAAAAAAGAGCTAAGAGGGCTACATAGAATTATAGTCCAGTCCATCGGTTGAAGATAAGTTTTTGGACAAATCAGGTCATTATTGGGCTTTTGGACCTTTAACCATGTCCATTGGAGATGGTCTAAGGTTCTAAGATTTGAGTAACACTTACCACTTATTTGTACCATCATTTGTACCATCGCTCTAATAGAGATATGGCTCACCAACTCATGTGGGTCCTATTTCTATTTGAGAGATGATACAAATGATGGTACAAATATGAGAAAAGCGTAGCATTTTTCTTAAGATTTAACCTTGTGCCAATTTATTTTAAGACTTAACTACTAAAATGTCCTATGAATATACAAAAGTATCACTTTAATCTATGTTTTAGAACTAGATCACTTTTAATACTAAGGGATTGGTCTAGTGAAAATGAGCAAAGGTTTGAACTTCACAAACACATTTCTCGGAGCCACTAGATCTCATTGGGCCTTGGGGGCTTGATTGTTGTGGACTGTTGTCATTTTTCATGGGTAAGATTCCCATTAGTGTTGAGTGTGGTATTCTATGGCCGTCAAAGGTACCTTCATTCTGAGATTATGATTTACATGACATGGTTTCCTCTCAAGATGTTTCCATAAGGGAGATTCTTGGTTTAGAGGTTGCCAATACTTGAGGTATCCTAATTAGAGAATACTATCTTGCCAATATGATAGAAGACTAAGGGGACTAGTTGATATACATTCTTATACTCGATACAATTATTTATTGACAGTCATATATAATTGTTGGATGTCAGTACAACATATAACTGTTAATAGATGATTTTACTAAGTACTAAGTATATAGGTGATGTATCAAATTGACTTGTGCACATTAGGGTGATTCAAATTTAGTGTTTTATATGCTGATGACGCCTTACTGCATTGGCAAAAAGCAATCACGCATATGCACACATTTGTGGGTTCAATCTCCATCGATTCCTTCTCTTAATTACAAACAATTTAACCCACTAACGTTGTCAAACGTTTGTAAATAAAAAGAACGCTCAATGTTTTATAGTAATATAAACTTGCTTTATGTGGAAATATTGAAAAGTGGAGGCAAAAAGAAAAGACAAATGAAAAACGAAAGGGTTTTTATCATAAATGATCCCTGAAATTGACCCTCACCATCAAGATGGTCTCTAAAATTGAAAATCAATCAATGTAGTCCCTAAAAATAGGTGTCACAAATCAATGTGGTCATTTCGTCACAATTTTATTAAAAAATTTGTTAAGTGCTGATGCGGCACATAAATGAGTCTCATAAGTCTTTTTTTTTCCAACAAATGATCATTGAAATTGACCAGCAACATCAAAATGGTCCCTGAAATTGACCTACGACATCAAAATGGTCAATTATATTGAAAATCGATCAATGTAGTCCAGCAAGTAAATGTCCCAAATCAATGTAGTCATTCAATCACAATTCTATAAAAAATTATGTTATGTGCTGATGTGACACATAAATGAATCACACAAGTCTAATTAAATTTAAAAAAAAATTACAAATAGGTTTAATAATTTAAAAGTTAATAAAAAGTTGTGAACCCAAAAATCTAGTCCTGCAATCACCTCCGATCTCAGTTCACATTCTTTTACCTCCTTTAGTGTCTATTCTTAAAAATAATCTCAAGACACACTTCAACACCCTTCATCGAATTGAACCTAGATCGAGATCACCTTTGATGGCGGCTTGACTGATTGACAACGACTTCTAGGACATCATCGTTAACATTTAGGTGATCAACATCCTTACGACCTTAATCTTAGAGATCTTGTTCAGCGCTTCGCTAGTGGTCTGGTGACTAAAAGAACAGCGAGGTCTGCCTTGAGATAATGAGGTTATAACCAAGGTGCGTCTATTGTTGGCTGAAAACTATTTCCAAACCCTATCTTAGGCCTTAGTTAAGTCTTGTGCTTTTGAGAATTTATGGGAGCGATCTTTTTTATGAGGAGATCCTACTATAAGAAAAAAAAAAATCTATTGTGCAAAAAGATATCTAGACAACTTTTTTAATTAATTTTTAAACCCACATCAGCACATAACAAAATTTTTTACAGAATTGTAGCTGAATGATCATATTGATTTGCGACACTTATTTTCAAAAACTACATTCATTGATTTTCAATTTTAGGGACCATCTTGATAGTGTGAATCAATTTCAGGGACCATCTTGATGGTGTGAGTCAATTTCAAAGACCATTTGTGATAAAAATCCATAAATCTTGTGAGACCTATTTATGTGTCACATCAGTACTTAACGAAATTTTTAACAGAATTATGACGGAATGACCATATTGATTTGCGACACCTATTTTCATGGACTACATTGATTGATTTTCAATTTCAAGAGGGTGAAGGTAAATTTCATGAGTCATTTGTGAGAATTATACGCACACAAATTAAACCCTCTTTTTATCAATTGTAGTGAAGAATGTAAGTAGGGATCGTTCTGGACCGAGGATTAGGAGGGATTGTTAATCACTTGGATTTGACTCACAAACGTAAAATAAAGTTTAAAACACTAAACTAGACTCAAAGAATGCGAAACTAAACGCTTAAAATACTAAAACAAACCAAAAGACTCAAACATCACCCAAAACACTCAAAACTGCCTTAAAATCACTTTCTGGGCAGTTTTGAGCACCTTGGTGAATTTGGACGAATTTGTGCAACAAATTGAATCAAAACACTTATAAACACAAACTAAGACACTTTCTAACTAATTTGGACAATAAAGTAAAGGGGGATTGGTTTTGGATGAATTTGAAATTAAACCAGAAACTTGAAAACAAAACAGATTGTAAAACGAATTTGATGGAATATAATGGATGGGATGGCTAGCTAAGGGGTTCATCTCCACACATGTTACACTTGCATATAAAACGATTTCCAATTGCTTTTCAATAAACCATGATGCTCAACACCCCAAGTTAACCGTGATGCACTAATTAACTCTCAAATTTTCCTTATGTTATTGAATTGGATGATGCATGCGACAATTCAAATCATTCTCCAATGGTTCTCAACATGAATGCATAGAAGAGATACAATGAGAGATCATTATGCTCTATGAAAATTATAAGTGTTGACGAGGCAATTGTAACTATGAATGCATGATACTCTTGCCAAGAATTCATTTAACGCGATTATTTATAAGCAACCTCCACTACTTGTGAATATAAGTTCATAACTATTAGGTGAAACTTACTTATATTCTAGCGTCATATTCATGCATGAAAATTAAGCGTGCACTCTCAATAAACATACATAAATAAGTTATCAATCAAACAGTTAAACAAATTGAATTCACAACTTATGAAACGTAATTAGAAGTAATCAAATCATATTGCAAGCATAAACATATATTTCGAATCCCCCCTAGCCAAGGGGGGGTTTAGTTCCTCATACGCACAAAACAAAGAGAATTGAAATTAAACATTGAAATCAAGGAAAAGAAACACCTAAAAATTCCAACAACTCAAACTTGAATTGTATGAACGTTTAGGCCATTCTCCTCCTCTTTGTTGCGGCACAAGGTCTAAGGATAGGTTTTGGGGGTTATGGATGGTGTAGAATGATGTGTTTAGGATAGGGATGGATGTAGGGGACTGCAAGGCTTATTTTTGGGCAGAAAATATGAAGAATGGTGAAGTATGGAAGTGTTATAGAGAGGGGATGAATTTCTAGCGTGAATGGTGAATGAATGAATGGTTTGTGGCTGCAATGGAGGTTTATTTATAGGTGGATGAATGATTAAAGAGGGAATATGACAGCTAGGGAGAGAATGTGGCTACCATCATGAAGAGTGCATGGATGTGGCTGACTAATCACATGGGAAAGCATGTGGCTGAATGGATTAAAGAAGGAATGATGATGGGAGAGCATGTGGGTGACAGCTAGGTTGGTTGGTGGCTGCAATGGAGGTGTGGAATGATGATGGGAGAGCATGTGGGTGAATTATAGAATGGGAAAGCATGTGAGTGACAGCTAGGGTGATTGGTGGCTGCAATAATTTCGTCCATCCTCTTGGCTCCAAGCATATGATATCCATTCCAAGCTCTAATTTGCTCCAAAATGCATCCTTTTGCATACTTTGCCCTTAAATCCTGAAAATACATAAAACTAGCTTAAAAGACTACTTTACTAAGGAAAAACACTTTAAATGCACAAGACAAGCTAAACTAAGGTGCATAAATATGCTCCTATCAAATTCCCCCACACTTAGCTTTTGCTAGTCCTCGAGCAAAACAAAACGATAACAAACAAACAAAACGACACTAAACAAGTAAAACACAACCTAAACCTTCCAACAATCGTCTTAGGGATTTCCAATGCACATAACATGTTAAAAATCATTATTCCCACAGATTTTAGCCATCTTTACACTCGAGCACAGGCTTAATCATAGTCACTACTTACTAGTTCACAAATAACCACTTAAAACGATGTTTTGAATGTAGTAACATGCCTTAGAGAATTTGCTCAATTCCTTACAAGATATGTACTCAATTTTCACTCAGATTTTCT